CTGCCTTGCTACGAGACACCAAAGCATTTGTGTCCCGGCACTCTGGTGCTTCTCTTGGATGCATTGCTTTGAGTCTGGCTGCACTTGCTGCAGGCTGCCATCCGGGAGGTCCATCAGGGGGGCTGTCAGTATTCAGGAGTCCCTGCGGGAGAGCTTCCACCCTGAGGAGCATGCAGAGCTGGTCTGCCCCACTGGGGGCTTGTGCCTCATTTCTCCCTCACCTCCTTCCACTTACCCTTCCTTAGCCCCCCTTCCTGATGTAAAAAATAAAGGACACATTTTTTCAAAAATATAAACTGTGTTTATTTAACAAAACCAAGGTGGGTATGAAACTCTGAGGAGACTGGTGAAGGAGGTGGGAGAGAGGAGGAGAGAGGGTGGGAGAGGGGAGAGGGGAAACTGGGAGGAGGGACCTGGAAGGAGGAGGCAAGGGGAAGAAGGGGGAGAGGAAGTTCAAAGGTGGGGGTCTCACTGGGCCAACTGACTCCCAGCACCATGGATGCGGGGGCCTCGGTGTCCCCAGGGAGATGGGGAGGAGAGCGCTCACTCGGGAGGCAGCAGGTGCTGGAACAGCATGGGGCAGCACGCTCTGCACCAGGGTCTGCCTGTGGTTGCAGAGAGCACGAGCCTGGGCAAGCAGCTCCCGGCAGAACTCCCGGTCGTCCTGCACCCACTCCTGCATGGTGCAGTGCATGGTTTGCACGGACTCCAGGTGCTGCTGTCTGTACCCGTCGAGTCTGTGGGTGGTCCTGCTCAGCCCTTGGGTGCGGAAGGATGTCCCGGGTGGGGTGGCGCACCCTGCACACGCAGCTGGTGCAGGTATGGAGAAAGAAGAGAAGTGGACAGTTCTCCCTGGGAACACAGTGGGTGAAGCCCAGCCCCCCTCTGCAAGGTGAGGATGACCATGCCCTGCACCCTCAGAGCTGCTCTGCTTGCACAGAGGCCATGGTCGGAATGTCCGGCTATCCCCAGGAGTGGGAGCTGCCCCAAGACTGCACCCATGCCCCTGTGCTGTGTATAGTGTGGCCAAGGTGGGGGAGAGATTTCCCCTGCCTCTGTGTAGAGGGGGCTTGTGAAGGGAGGTGTCCTGCTGTGCCCCACCCTGGAGCAAGGTGGGGGAGGGATTTCCCCTGCCTCTGTGTAGAGGGGGCTTGTGAAGGGAGGTGTCCTGCTGTGTCCCACCCTGGAGTCAGGAGCATGTCAGGTCTCTTCACACACACGTGTGGCTATCAGGCCATGGCCCCTGAGTGGCAGGGCAACGGG